AGAATAAGAACACAGACACACAGAAAAACACAGAAAACCTCTTCATGTTGTTCTTGATATGGGCTTAGACAACAAAAACTATCTCTATATATAGTGAGCTGATGAAAATCAGAGTGCATAAATTTTTGTTGAATGAGGTACAAGCTAGGGGGCCACGGTGGTATCCACTCAAAGTGGGAAATTGCTTATCCGAACACTCCACTTAGAGGGTGGTGGTGGTGGAGGTTTGTGGCAGTATGGAATGTTAGCTCTTATTTATTTATTAATTTTAATATTATAGTCTGATCATTGCTGAAAGGGTGACAATAGAGATGTATAGTTTTAGGTGACATGCATGATAATAAAAAAATTGAGTGTAGGTATAGTGACTCAGCAAATATTCAGTTTAAATCTTTGAATTGATGGGAGATGATCTCCGTCTTAGAACAAAAAGCGTACTCAGATCAATCTTATGTCACTAAGACACATTTTTCGATTTAAATTCTCTTTCAATTTTCAGGACAGAAGGTAAGAAACCCTCAAATTTAGGGTTTAAATGGATCGATAATTGAACTAGTCGTTCCATTCAGATGACGCCCTAATCTTTCTAGCACAGAGATATGTAAATTTAGGTAACATGATAACCGAATTACTCGTTTTATTCAAATAACAACTGCATGCATGGTGCACACGGTTACACAGCATAATAATCCGGCGGTACTCGTCTAACTATCCAACAAGTTGGTGGACTCACTACTGACTAGCTAGCAGATGCTATTGGGCCTATTGGGATGGCACACTGCTATGTTGATTAAGAGAGAAGTCAAAGCATTGATGGTGGTCACAATTAGACATCACCCTCCCCACCACCCCTTTACTACTCTTGATGCCACATATCATGGACAATGCAAGTACATGGACCATAGCATGTTTGATACGTATAGGGTTTGTTCATACTCAATTATAAAATTAAATTTATACTTCAATATCAACTATATCAAGACATGTTTGATACGTATAGGGTTTGTTCATACTCAATTATAAAATTAAATTTATACTTCAATATCAACTATATCAAGACATGTTTGATCCGATCCTCATGAAATTACTTGTCTCTATTTATTCGATAAAATCAGTATAAGACAACACTAAAATATCAATTTAAAGGTGTTACCTTAATTCAAATGAAAATGATTTAAGCAGTTTAAATTATATATTGTAACAATACCAACGGTGACATGAGGGATTACAAAATATGAGAGCCCTTTGCGTTAAGCAAGGAATTGGTTGCGACTTGGCCGGATATGTTAAGGCGTATAACAGGAACATGGTCTGTTTTGTTAGTATTGTTTTGTCCAGGTTTGGCAATACCATGATTGCTGTAGAAACTTCTTTTGTTTCTTTTCGATCCCTTCTCTTGCTGTGTCCACTGCCTTATTTTAGTGGGGCAATACTGCAGTAGTAATTAACAAGGAGTAATCATATTGAGTATTGAACGTGTGGCATGAAATATATATGGTAGTTTTCTTAGCTTCACGCTTACCCTTTCTTCTAAACTTGTGGCTATTTGAATATGTGCCCTAAATAGAGTGATGGCTTTGTGGCTTAGTCAACAAAATACCACAAAAAGGTAAAACAATTAAAATTGATCATAACCGGCTATTATACCTCAAACTAAAAATCACGGCCAATAAATCGCTTCATCAAAGAGTCACTCTTAGAATACACTGATTACCAAATTAACTATCTGACCAACTTGGCTAGAATTGAAGTTGCCCCTATCAATATTCATGATGACTTGTAAACCACACTCATGTGTTATATAGCTTGCAAACCACACTAGAAATACCATATATAACAAGCTGAATCGAGGAAGTGTTGACAAGAAACAAAAGCATAATTTTAATATCATGTCAAACTTAATTTTTTGAAAAAGACACGTCCACTCTTAATTGTTACTCATAGTAAATAAATTAAAGCTTTAAAGGATCTGAACAAAACATTATCAGTCATCATGCATCATTTTGACTTCACTCAAAGCGCATCTTTAAACAACTAATTTATTATATTACATTGATTTTTAATATTTTCATATTAATTATACATAACAATTCATTAAACTTTTAAATATATATGATCTATCAATTCACAAAAAAATTTCTAGTTAAAGTACACTATACTCAATTATCCACAAAGTATCCAACTCGTTCTTACTACGCCCCAACAAACTATCAAAGATTAAATTCAAGTACAAAGTAATAAGGAAGTACGTGGTGAATGTGACGTCCTAGTGTGCTCTTTAAAAAATAAAAAATAAAAGAATTGTTGAAGAATGAGCTTGCCATAAGGCCATAGTTATGTCACCCAACTAAAAGATGTTGGGACCAACAAGTCAACAATATTATAGTTGCGATGATTAATTTTCGTCAAACATAAATATAATGGACCATAATCAAACGTCCACTATATCTACACTGTAGACGGTTTTTATTTGTGCACAAGAGATCCAATTTAGACCTTCCCAGTATCCTTAATTCTTTTTCTCAAACATGGTTTCAGTGGGATTCAAACTCTCACATTGTGACCTCCAATCATGACCTTTAAATCAAGCGACGAACCAACTACACTAAGTCCCTACGGGGTTAATACTACTACTACCACTACTACTACCACCACTACTACGACCACTACAACCTCTACTACTGCTGCTGTTGTTGTTGTTATTATTATTATTATTATTATTATTATTATTATTATTATTATTGTGGTACACTTGCCTTTTAAAAAAAAAAAATGCTCCGTACATAAGAAGAAAAATTGAAACTAACTACTATATAAACCATGGCATACTCTTTCCAACGAAATACTCAAACAAAAGTCACAACTCACAAACCCTACAACCCCTTCTCCAATAGTCTCAAAACCCAACCCACTTAAGACAGCGATTTACTTGAATCATTATTGCATGAACCATGGTCCACACAATTATGTGAACCATAAATAAAAAGTATATTTTTAATATACTAAGAGTATATTATTTTATTTAATGTACATTCCGTACAAAAATAATGTACCTTCACTACAAAAATAATATACTTTTAATATATTAAAAATATAGTGTACCTGATATCCATGGTGCACACAATTGTATGGACCATGGTCCGTACAATAATTTGCCGATTTACTTCTCTATGCACATATCTAATTTAATAAATCCAATTACAATTCAATAATAAGATTAGATTTTTTTTTTTTTTTTTTTTTTGTCGTTGTTGCTATTGTAGACAATTATGTTATAAGTCATAATATTTGTTAAGATTTAGTTGATTTCTTATTAATTCTAAATATTTTATTATCTTATCTAAATAAGACAACAAAAAATATCGTTGTCCACTTCTCCCGTGGGTGGTAAGAATAAACCTAATTTGGCAAATGAAAGTGTGCACCATTACATATACATGCAAATATATTGGAGTGTACGCACCAAGTATGTAGTAGGGAGTGTATATTATTTATTAAAATGGCAACACTACATTATATTAGTCACTAAGATGGATCTAATTGTTGAAGATTTGTGCGGCAATACGTATGTAGTCCACTCAACGTTAATGTGGAACGCATATATATAGCTCATGGCAGCAGGCCGAATCGCACATAAATAATTATATCATTATAAGTGGCTGAATCAGCCACCAAAACTCAATGAATTTTGTCTCATTATTGAGTTCATTGAAAGGGATGTCACTTGTGGGAGAAAACATAACAGACTTACAAAAATTCCGTTGCCGGGAATCGAACCCGGGTCTCCTGGGTGAAAGCCAGATATCCTAACCGCTGGACGACAACGGAATGTTGATACATGGATCGTTGTAGTATGTATTATCCTTGCACCAACTGGGAATAATGGAATATACACGCTTAATTTGATTAATTGTATGTTAATCATTGTTTTCTATTTCAATTTTAACCGATCCAAATTCATTTTGGTTAATTTGGTCAATTAACTGAAAGATTATTACTTAGAAAAAATCAACAAAATAATAACATTAAGTCATTAATAAATCCATAATACACGTCTTTAAATTCTAATATTAATTGTGCTATTTAACTTTACGTTAATCAAAAATTTTCAATTCATGATCAATCAGCTAATTTCATTTTAACTGAAGTTTGCATGTGATCAGAAGGGAAATGGAAATACTGAATCATGCATTTTAACTGAAGTTTGCATGTGATCAGAAGGGAAATGGAAATACTGAATCATGCATGGTGTCATTAACATGACTATAATACATTGAAAATCATTTTTCTTAATTATTTTGAGAAATATTAAATGAGAGCACAACCATTACATATTTAAAAATTGTAAGATAAGAAATTTAAAATCTTTTTTTTAATCACAAACTTATTTAATTTTAAAATAATTAATTGTTTTAAAGTAATAAATAAGAAAAGCAATTTCAATGGATTAATTACTATTTACAAATATTTAATTAATAAAAGATTTAAAGTTCAACGTAAAAGAAAGTAAATGAATTTATTTGTACTTTCTTCGATTAATTTTCTTTTTAAAATATTAATTAAGTTCACTTACAAGAAATACGACAAATTTGTATTATAAAAAAATTATATTAATTTTTAAGGATTAAATTTTTCTTTTAAGAACTTCTACAAGAGGAAGAAATAATATAAGTTTCTCAAAATTTTCTAGTAAAATACATTTGGCTTAATATGATATTTCCTCTAAAACTAATGTCCCTAGATTACAAGCCATTGCAAATATTTTATAATAAAAAACTTTTTTCATGAGTATATATATATATATATATATATATATATATATATATATATATATATATATATATATATATATATTACATCTAGGTTAAAAACAACTTTACAACCAAAACAATAATAATAAAATCAATACACAAAAAAGTAATAACAATTTTAGATAAAAAAAAAATAGTAACAATTTTACAATCAAAATAATGATAATAGAATCAAAACGCAAAATCATGTAATATCAATTTCTAAGTAAAAAACTATATATAACTTAATAAAAAAATAATACTATTAACACAAGTATCTGTCTTCAAAATAAATTACTCATACTACAATTATTTTCTTTTCTATCTAAGACTAAAAACCCTCCAATTAAGACAAAATATATATATAACATTAGTAACTAAAAAAAAAAAACTTGGTAACTTGATCTTCCAATCCAGAAACCACAGTTCATCCATCTATCCGCGGCACACTTTTGGTCTACTCAAATCTCAGATTTAGTCGTAGATTGACTAGTGTATATCCATTTTTTCCAGTTATTACGCCTTCTTATTCTCTCACCCTACATAATATGTTAATATTTAGAACAAAACAGAATCCAAATAATTAAACTAATATTCTAGTACAATTAATTACCTGTACTTCAACCACCTTTGAAGCCTTCAAACAATCCAAAATAAACAGAATATTATTTGTCAACTTTGTAACCTACAAAAATAAGATATTAAACATATGTAAAACACAACAAAATAACAAGAATGACTGTGTAGACTACAATTAAGGACTCTCAAGCCTCCAAATTTATTTAAGAATTATTGATCAAAAACAAATGTAGTAAATACTAAATATATAGAAGTATTAAAACTTACGATGTCCATATATATAATTATTTACTAAATATATAGAACTATTAAAACTTACGATGTCCATATATATAATTATTGAGCCGCCAAACTTTTTTAGCTTACAAATGCTAATTTCACGAATTAATAACACAGAACACTATGCAATCTAAATGAGATAAATTGAAATTGAACTTTATATACAACAAAGTTAAAGTTTATTGAAAATTTTTATGTTATTTGTTTCTAAAAAAAACGAAGGAGTAGAGATCTTACTCGATGGAAGTTGGCAATCAAATTAATGGGAACCCAACCCTCTGAATCCATTTTTGATCTTAGATAATGATCATTATCCAAATTAGCATCACTACATGTAATGAGAAAATTGAATTAGCACATGTCTCAATATTGATAAGGCTTCACAATAGGATTACCTGAAGTAATAATCTATCTGTTTGAGTAGCGAAGTAGACAAATTAGTATCTATAGGATATATCATTGATGGTGGTGGTGGCCGGGGCAACGTTGGGACGTACGACGACATAAAAGGGGTTGCCACATCTGAAAAAGATGAAATAACATCAATAAAACATCTGAAAGGGATGAAATAACATCAATAAAACACATGTTAAATCAAAATGGCAAAATGCTAGTAGATCTTGCAAAAGCTACGCACCAAAACCAATTGGACAGCCCAAGGATTGGATAGGTGGGGGTAAAAATGGCGGAGAACTAGGGGGTGGTATGAACCCTCCATGCCGAGGTGCAAACTGATATGGTGGATGGCCATCTCTTCGACCATGATTGTGCCTGTTTCCCTGGTTGTAAGTCCAATCTCCATGGGGATGGGCACCAGAACTTCTTCTAGGAAAATTATTCGGAGAAGAGTGATTAGCCTGTAAATGCACAACTCCTCCAACTACTGGCCTTGGACCTACCATTGAAGGGTCCATAACAGCTGGTATAAAATTCCCATAAGGCATCTCAAAGATGGGGAATGGCGGAGGTGAGTGAGGTGGCGGTGGCTGCCCACTAAACCCACCCTGTCCTGGTACACCACTCCGGTGTTTCATTGAACGTTGCCGACCAGCCATTGTATGCTTTGAATTAGAATTCGAGTGTGAATTGTTATTATGTTGTTTCTGAGATGATTGCTTGTCAGATGATTGTTGAATAACAGGTCCCTATCAAAAATCACAAAATCAAAAACTATGCTAATTAAACATAAACAACATTTTTAAGAAATATAATTAAGGTTCGAGTGCGAATCTGTCAATCAAATAATAGGTCTCTCTATCCCTATCAAATTCACACAACAAGCAATTGCACACAATTACAATTAATACAAAACTTTTAAGAAACATAAATTTATGCATTATGCATTGATAAAACAACATAGCAATAAAAAAAAAAAATGATAGTGTGAACCTGCGAAACCTGGGGAAGAGAGGCGGCGATTTTGGGCGAATTGGAGCGAGTACATTCGGAGAGGGCAGGCCAAGAGACTTCCCCGCCTATAACGGAATGAGTTGCAGCTTCGTTCTCAGATTTATTCTCTTTATTCAGAGAAGCATTATTGTTTTCCGATGGATTCGCCGGCGAACGAGGGGTAGAGGAAGCCTTTGCTTCAGAATCGCCTCCACGCACGACCTGAGCCCATGGAATTGCGGAAGACGGATGAGGCGACTTATGTTCGTTAGGAGAATTACAATCGGCCGCCATGTCAATTACTTTGCTTAGAAAACCTGGAAATCAGCCTTTGTTGCTCACCTGATCACTCTGCAAGAATACTAGAGTAAAACTAGGTTTCTGCAGTGATCACTTTCTTTTTGGGCTTTAAACCCTCAGCCCACTACAACTTCTAAATCCTTCTCCTAAACAACTTCTAAATTCTAACTCTACAGAGATTTGTTTTGTCAATTATTATTAGATTTTTAAAAATTAGTATTTTTATTAATTGAGTAATAAAATATTTTGTTTAAGTTTTATTGTCATTATAATTTTTTCAAACTCTATTGATATTTTCTTTTTGTAAAAATATTAATTAATTAGACTTATTATTGGAAATTCACATTTTATTTATTCTTTTACTTTAAATTTACATCCTAATTTTATAATTATTGATTTATTATTATTTTTTTTTTTTTGATGTTATGTTCATAACATCAATTACTTTTACTTAGTGTTCATGTTTTCTGAATAAATATCTATATTGTTGTAAAGGTTGTCCAAAAATGTATAAGGTGTACTATTTATACATAAAAATTATTTATTATCTTTTAAAACTTCTAATGAAATTAATTTTTAACGAAATTCAGAGTATAGTTATCTTTTGTAATCAAGAGATCCAACTCCCATAAGAATTATGCTCCTAGTGAAAATTGTGGATAAATATTAACCATTAATCTAATATATTTAACTATTGAAAATTAAAAAAAATAATAATAGGGTCGTTTTTATAAATGACCCATATCTTTTTTTTTCTTTATTTTCAACTGTAAAATTAATATACTAGATTGAAGGTTAGGATTTAAGGATTTTGTCCACGATTCTAGGCATGATTCTTCAAGAGAGCAGAACCTACCCTCTATATATATATATATATATATATATATATATATATATATATATATATATTGGTTATGCAAAAGAGTCGTAAATTTAAGTTTCAATTCATTGGAGTTTTTTGCACTTTTAGTCTCATGACTATAGTGGCACTCGCTGATCCACGACTTTTGAACCTTGTAATTTTAGTTCACGACTATTGATTTTTTTTACAAGAATGGTCCTTCCGACCACTTTTTCGTCAAAATTTCACCGAAAAAAAAAAAATTATCTATTTTTAGTCGGGTTAAAATTGACATTTTACTTATCTCAACAAATTAAATGAAAAAAATTGATATTTGACTACATACAATATTACTGGGCTACATACTACTGTCCCAGGCAGCGGAGTACAAGTACCACTCCAATGCTGCTGCTGGATAACCCAACTAGCCCGGGGAACGCCACGGGTGCTCCGCCGCTTATTGACAGCCCTGCCTGCTCCAGGAACTCCGCCACCTGGGGCAGTAGTATGTAGCCCAGTAATATTGTATGTAGTCAAATATCAATTTTTTTCTTTTAATTTTTTGAGATAGGTAAAATGTCAATTTTAACCTGGCTAAAAATGGAGAATTTTTTTTTCCGGTGAAATTTTGACGGAAAAGTGGCCGGAAGGACCATTTTTGCAAAAAAAAAAATCAATAGTCGTGGACTAAAATTGCAAGGTTCAAAAGTCGTGGATCAATTCTGCCCGTGCCACTATAGTCGTGGGACTAAAAGTGCAAAAAAACTCCAATTCATTGCACCAATCAACTTTGGAATGAAATTGACACACAAAAATAATGGGAAATTAAACAAATGCAGAAGTGCAAATTAGCACATGCATCACGCCGGCGCCGGCCACACTGATTTGCTAAACTACCTAATTAACAAATCTGCAATCCAACCTAATCTCTTGGCCGTTCCCGGCGATACTGCTCATCTTGATCATGGACCTCGCAAACGCGTCGTAGAACTCTTGCTGAGAGTTTGCGTATTTGGAAACCAATGCTTTTGTTGTTGGAGTGGTGATGAGTGCTTGGTCGGAAGAGAAAAGGCTGTTTCCTTGGAGGAGTAGCTTGTAGTAGGCGTTGTCAAAGGCGGCGGAGGAGGAGTCCATGGTGGCGCCGGCGTTCCTCACTTTGTTGTGCATCGGGCACACCTTCCGTAAGCTGCCGGCGAACGACGCTTTCAGCGACGGGTCCACGTCGTGGCTTTTGTCGAAGTTGTGGATTCTGTTCTGGAATGATGAACAATGGGAAAAACCCAGACTGTGTCCTCCTGCATCATTATATATATGAAGATACAATTTCCAACTCAATTGTGAACTGTTGAGCATATAATTATTAATGTGCAAATGTTTAGACTTTTAGTTGAAATGGAGCACATGTTTTAATTTGATATTAGAGTCAGACCAAAGGTCATGGGTTGGGTTCGAATCTACATCATTCAGCGACTCACCCGTAATCCCTATCAGGCTTTTAGTTGAAATGGAGCACATGCTTTAATTTCAATGAACCAATTGAATATTTTGTTACAAAAATATAAATTTTAACACATTCATAATTATATTACCTGAGAGTGCTACTAAATCCTCCATGGAAAGGCCTCTTTGGGCGAAGTTTTGGCGGAGTTGGGTTATGTTGAAGGTGGGAGATGGCAGTTGTCTGGTATCTGTGGCTATGGAGATTCTTCCATCTTTTCTACCTTTTGGCACATCCCAGTGAGGACCTCCAGACTTCAACAATGTAATAGAGTCAGTAACATTCAAAAAATATATATATATAATTTAGTAAATTTAAACTTACAAGAGCAACTGCATCCCTAGCGGCCAAGGCCAGAATATCAGCACAAGAAACAACACCGGGACAAGCATTCTCGACCTGTTTCTTGGCCTCATCAATCACGTAAAAAGCATGCAAAGAAATATTAGGAGGTCCATCTTTCTCAGCTTTGTTACCGCCACTCGATTTCAACAGCACAGAGCCATCACACCCCTTTCAATTAACACAATTAAAGAATGAATTTCCACAAATTAAACCCAACCCAGACATCATAATATATCTATCTATCCTGTAACAATTACGTACTCTAATGAAGCAGTCATGGAAGTGCATCCTCAACAGCGCTGCTGGGACAGTTCTGTCGTTCAACATAGCTTTCTTCACAACACCAGTTATGACAGACTCTGCTTTAGGGCATGTTTGGTCGTAGTAATTTGAGCTTAGTGCATTCGCCATTAATGGAGTAACAGAAAACATGATGAATAGTACAACAAAACCCAGGACCAGAGAGCTGCTTGGACATGCCATTTTCAGCATGGACATTAACTGTAAATATATGTTATACAACGTTAATTACTGTAACTGATAATGATGAGTTTGCGTTGACAACATGATTCCAATACGAGTGTATTTATAAGGGAGAGGGTACGAGCTAAGAATCACTCAATCGGGCAATACAGACGCATAGAGACATAGAGTTGTTATTTGTTAGAATGTTTGGTGAGGTAGATCCATCAACTCTTTGGGAACAATGATATATATCTTCATCAATCATATTATATATACATGGAGTTGTTTTTGCACACATATATTATTAGTACTGTTTATACTTTTAGTGTTGTTTGCATTGTGATGGACAATTGGACATGGAATCTGCTTGAGCTTAATTTTTGTGTATTGTAGTATTGTTACTAGATTCTATTTAAAGGTTTGAAGAGTGTTAGGAAGAATTGAACTAGTGATTTTCAGGTATGAAAGTCATGCCAATTAAGGACAATTCAACCAAGTTAGTAAGACAGTTGGTTTGAAAATTTCAAGTTTGATTCTATGTGAAAGCTGTCTATTGATATTCTTGAATGACCCGATCAGCTATAGGCAACCTAGATTGATTTGTCTCATTGTGATCATTTGACGGTTATAGTTACAAAGCGGGCTTTACTCAAACACACATTGGATAGTGATTACAAATTTTCTCGTAAATTAAAGAGTCATAACAACCCGCTCGATCATCCACTTCTTTTGTGAAGTTATACCCTGCCTATATATTGATTAAAAAAAAAAACAAGAATTTTGTTTTGAAAGTGCATGGAATGATGTCAGAGGGAATATAACTTGTTGGTGCTAACGAGATTCTGCATTCAATAATGCAGATAGATAGTGATATTATCTTGTGCCTTAAGCTTTGCCTTTTAGGTTTGACAAGTAGTTGTATATGGGGTTTGGAGGAGTACAAAGTTGGTCAATTGGTGGATAGGGTTCAACCATTTAAAAGGTATGAGGATTGGTTAATGATCATTATAGGTTATATTTATTCACTTTTGTCTGATTCTGCAACATATATAATAAAGTGAACCTACCTAAAGCTCAAATCATCCCTTCAATTATATATATTCATAAGTTTCTAAAATCATATAATTCCCGATGAAAGTTAGGGAACAACATGTCAAAATGGAGAAGTTATATACGGCACAAATGACCTCTTAATTTAATGGTTAGAGAGATTTCAAGATTTAAATGTATAAAAATAAAATTGTAAAACGGCACGAATATGTATTATTTATAACATGGAAATCTTCACATTACAAGTTTATAGGGAAGAACTGAATGTACTGATAAGGCACACATTATTTCTTTTTTTTTTTTTTACAATGAAACCAAACTGTATATTACTTATTGCCAACAACCTTGTAATGGGCCAATATTTGGGCTAGAGTTATTGGGCTTATACTCAGCCTGTAATCAGAAACTGTCCAAAAGAATCTGCGTAAAACCCAAAAATAAGTGGCGGGCTGCTTTCGGTAAAATAGCAAGCAAGCCACTGCCTGATGGGCCTAAGAACTCTAAGCCAAATCATGGGCCGGGCCTCTTATGAGAATTGGATTGGGCTGGCGAAAGTCTGCCCAAATCTCCAATTGGATGGGGCCAAGTTCAAGAAAGTCTTGGTGACGCCATCACTGGATGTGACCCGGAAAGACAGTGATTGACCATTTAGGTATGCATTAGATTGCCAGTTGACTCCCCAATTTCTTGACATTGCCATCCAGCTAGTTTTTGAACCCTTGATTTGCACTGATCTAATGGATCCAGCTCCACCCACATTTGTGATTAGCACTAGCTCAAAGTAATCATGGCCGTTGATCGTAAATCTCACCCCACCACGTTTAATGCACGGTACCCTGATCCATAAAATCATACATAGGATAATGACAGCACTGTCACACTTATTACAATTATGTATGTTTTTAAA